TTCACTGCTTCCTACATCATTGGGGCCATTGGTCGTGCTTAAATGGGTGTTACTACAAGCCAAGCCTTTCTCATATGCACTTATGATGCCAAGATGATCTCAATATTTTATGTCTCTTCTGGTTTTGAACCCACAAACCCTGAGAAACTCCTACCTATTGCTAATCATTGGTTTAAATTTATTCTATCAAACCTTCGTCCTCGAGGAATCAGCTAGAATTTCTTGTATCATGATGATAAACTTTTGATTCTCTTCCTGCTTAATCATACTCCGATTAACTTGCCTCAAATCATTTTCAACTACCTTAAAGAGTCCAAAAACATGACCAGAGATTGGAATAAGTCATTCATTCCCTATGGAAAAGTCCTATCATAAGTGCTCTTCAAGGTGGAGATTATGGGAATTGTTTGCAGGATTCGTAATGGTCTCGATAATGCTCTGATTGAAGAAAACTGTGGTATTTGAGGTTTTGTTGGGTGGTCGGAATAGGAGGATACCGGGCTGTGGGTTGTAGCGTCGCCGCGGAGAGCTTTAGGTTTAGGGTTAGGGAAAAGGGATAAAGCGAGAGAGAGAGAGAGAGAGAGAGAGAGAAAGGAGAAAGGGCTTGCTGTAAAACTGATGAAGATAAAATGTAAAAACAAAATCTTATATTCCGTAACAATTCAATGCATGCGCGTTTATAGTAATTAGTACGCACCCTTCAATCTCATCAGTGTGATCATAAGTGGACGGTCGTAAGTCTAAGTCCACCATAAGCTCTATACTCCCTCACATACCTGATCATGCGGACCCCTCTCTCAAATACGATTGGACCAGGCCAAGTATTTTTGACACCCCAATTTGTTACAATTGCTAAAACGCAGCAAACAATTACACCCACCCCCCAGGATTACTGGGCCTGAATTCAATATCTGAATTCAGGCCCTGACTTTCTACACCCCATCCCTTTTACAAGCTTAACTAAAACTGCACCCCCCCTGATTAATTTCAATAATTTCAATAATTTTTATTATTTTCTATGCTTTCTTATTTATATATTATTTATTTATATATTATTTATCTCTCTTATTATTTCTTTTTATAATAACTATTATTGTTATTAATATTAATTGTTGTTTTTATTTATATATTATTATCATTTAACTAATAATTTTATTCAAACTCATGTATATATTTTTATCTATTGCATTAAAATATTTTTAAATCATGCATTATTAAGAATATTTTGAAATTAATATTATAAAACATATCTAACAAATCTCAAATTCTTTTTCGCAATAAATTAATCTAAACACTATTTTTTGGTAAAGGGTTCCAAATATATTTTGACTAATCGCGCATTTAGTCCAAAATTCTGCAATCTTTACACCCGGTAAAAATGGGAGGTGATTCAAAGTACTTTTGCAACCCCCTAAAAAACACAAACCCATATGAACTACGAATTGGGACACTGATTCCTCATAAGAGGATATGTAGGCATACGACTAAACTCGTGGCGAGTTCCCCTATAAAAAAATTAAAACCCTATTTTTCTCGAAACTTAAACCTAAACCTAGTATCCTTAAGAATAAGGTATATGAAAGGTGCCTAACACCTTCCTTTCGTCTAATAGAGTTTGAAACTTAGAATCTCTGTCTTTGCGAATTAGAGTTTCCTATTAGATGCCCTTCCTTAGGATAAAAACTAATAGTGGCGACTCTGATTAAAAAACCAGTTGCAACAAAAATATACAGAATGATATGATAGATAAGGCTATGATAATGAACCTATCTAATAATTAGAAGGTTATAATGAAGAAAGAAGGTTTGATAAAGAAAAATCTGATAAATCGCTTCTATATGCTTTAATCAGAATTCTGAAAATGTTAATCAAACTCACAAAACCCTACTTTCTGATAAGCTCTTAAGTTTTAGATTTAGGGGGAGATTGTTTAACTCAGGGGGAGTTTTCTAATCAATGCTCAGAAATCCCTTCCTTATAAAAACTATAAGTATTAGACTCATGGGGAGATCACGCTTATCAGGGTAAGTTTTCTTTATAACCCCGATAATTTTAAATTGGATTATGATATTACCTTGTAAAGTTGTTACATCAAAATACATGGTTTTGTCGTCATCAAAAAGAGGGAGATTGTTAGAACAAGATTTGGATCTGTGTTAAATATCTGGACTTTATTGATAACAATATATATATTATATGTAAACAATTTTGTTTCTAATAGTTTCTTTAGTGTGCAGATTAGAAGTTCTAATTGATTCGGGACTGTTGTATGAAGAATCATCAGAAACACGCATCAGAAGACTATTGCATCTGATTCTGAAGAAACATCAGTAGTTCTGAAGAATGTCAAATGTTTGCCAGAAAGAGGATCTCTTGTGTACTTCTCAAATAATCTGATGCTTCAGAAGTCACAAGAATACTACAAGAAAGAAATTATGTTAGAGTTACTGCTCAAAGATCAGAAAACAAGATTGCACAGAAACAAGCTTTCACGTCAAAGATCAGAAGTCAAGATTTGTTTATCATAGGAGTTGTTGCTCGTAACTCTAAAGACAAAGTCAAGGTTCTGAACACATCAAAGGAAAGCTTCTACCTCATATTCACAAGTCAAGATTTGTTCATCAGAAGTGTCATTGCTCATAATTATGAAGACAGAGTCAAGATTCTGAAGACTCGTGAACTTTATGGAATATGCACACATAACTTTACATCAAAAGTATTCCATCAGAAGACTGATCAAAGGAAATTCAGATCTTCTGGACTCATCACTTTTACGCATCATATAGTCCATCAGAAGACAAGATCAAGATGATATCTTCTAAAGCCAATCAACTTCATCAAAACTCATATTCATCAGAAGACAATATCATCAGAAACAACTGCAAGAAGAGTTATTACAAAGGTACAATTACACGTTCCACTCAAATGGACGTACTGTGTACTATTTGTCTCCCACGATCAAATCCTACCATTATAGCAGCTGGTAAGATGAAATTGACGTGTGTACTACTACAATGATCTAATTCTTCAACGCCTATATAAAGGATCAACTGTTTCATTTAAAATGGCAATACTAGTGAACAAGAACAGTAACGCTGCCAAAATCAAAAGAAAAATAAAAAACAAAGAAAAAGCAAAGAAAAAGAAAAAGAAAAAACAAAGAAAAGAAAACATCAAAATACAAGAGTTTTTGCTCGTTACTGTGTTGATATTATCATTTTCTAGAACACATGAGTTTTTGCTCATATTGTATTGTTACTACTATTCACCAGAACACTAGAGTTATTGCTCATATATGTTGTACCCCAAAATTTTCCCCTCTTCATTTTAACTTTAATCGGTTTATACTTTATCATCACATGCATACATACATGTAATTGGGTTTATACTTATGGAATTGAGGCATTTCTTTGTGAAAAGAATTACAAAAGTTGATTGTTCCGTTAAGCAGCATTGTGAAGCAGAACTCGGGATTTTCCGCATTTTAATGCATGCCGCATGTGTTTCAAGCTATTCAATCAACAAGTAATCAAGGCATAATAATCATATCAACTCTTATGCGTTCTCACACGCTCTGAACTATGCATAAAGTCAAGCGTTTCATTTGATTTAAGACACTGCAAACATAATTTAGTATTGTGTGTTTCAAGCTAAAAATTCATAACTTGAGATCAGAAAATGGTTTGATATTGATTCATCAGTCATTAGAACCATCTTGAGGTATTCATCATTTTATATGTTCATGTCTAAGGTTAATTTTGTGAGGAATATTTTCTAAAGCAAAAAATACCTGAAATGCATTATACATTGGATTTACCGTTTCGTCGGTTTTCAGATGCTTAAAAAATTTGTAAATTCTAACCGGAAGATCATCTTTGAGTGGTTCTTGAAGCATTTGAATCATGTTGATATTTCATTTAACTTTCATGTTTGGCTCGAAAGCCAATTCATTAAAGAAGATCTCCGAATACGCGAGTACTTTGAAGCTATACAATGCAAAAATAGTGAAAATAATGTGCTGAACCGGTATTTTTTAGGTGTTCAAAAATTCATAAATTTCGCCCGGTTCATTGTTTTCAGGTGGTTCTTTGGGAAAAAAATTTGTCTTGATTTAATCTTCGATCTGTATGTTCGGGTCAGATCTAATTCTTTGCAGAGTACCTTTGAAAGTGCGAATTACCAGAGAAAATTGCACTCATAATTATTTTTCTACCAGATTGTTTTTTCGATATTGTAAAAATTGTAACTCCCTCAATTTTTATCGTATCAGGACGATTCTTGAAGCATGAGATCACAAATTTTTTAAGCTTCAACTTTGCTTTAGGGCCCAAGTTCAGATTGAGCTCCGAAGACTTCAATTTATGGCTTGCGTTTGAAAGTGTGCACAAAAGTAAGCTGAAATTGTTCAAAACGGTGAAATAAGTCCATTGTTTCTCGCCACTCGAAAAATCATAACTTGGTCTATTTTTATCGTATCAGGGTGATCCTTTTGGCACGACGTCAAACATTTCTTGGCTGATATTTTTTCTTCAGGGCTCGTATCTGGATTTCGCACCAAACATCATGAGCTTATGGTTTGTTCGCGCGTCGTATCCAAAATAAGCTAAAAAATTATGCATTGTGAATTTTTACATTGTGTTTCTCGTTGTTCAGGGCGACATAACTTCTCAATTTTTATCATATCGAAGCGATTCTTTCGGTGCCATGTCACAAATTTCGTCATCAAGAGCTTTCTTTCAAGTCACGCATTAGGATTTTACACCGATTATTATGTGCTCGTGGTTCGATCCCACACTGTGCACGAAATAAGATGAAAATTCAAGTTTGGAGCCAAGACTATATATTTCAAATTTCAAATTTCAAAAAATTACACTCTCATTATTCCAAATCTCAAGAATCAAAAACACTCTCTCTCACTTTCCTCTCAACTTCTTCAAGAAACTTTTCATAAAACTTCTCAAGAACACCTTTAACCAAAACTCATAAAATTCATCAAAGCTTCATCTCCTCTTACAGAATTTCCACAAGCAACCACCACAATCCTCCACTAGGCTCCATCTTCGTACAAGTCTGACCGCCTCCTTCTTTCCGATTCTGGAGAACTCTTCGTCATAGCTCCCTCCGGCTCCTGTGCACTTTGTTGTGGTATATCCTCCCTCTGATTGCTTATGATCTATGCGGGGAACACTCCCTCCTCTGTCAGATTGTATTTCTGGTGACATCATCTCCTTCGCGTGATTTTTCTAGCAACATTAATCTTATTCTGTTCAATTTTCCGATAAATTCTTAAATTCTAATTGATTTAGTGTTTACTTGAAATAATTGATTTCTGAACATTATGTTGATTTGAATTTAATTGACATAAGCATGAAATTGAATTGAATTCTTAAAATTGTTGAGATATTGATTCTTGAACTTGTGATAATGTTGAGATGTGAGTTAGTTGAACATTTGTTGAATTATTGTGAGAATCTTGAAATTCAACTTGATAATTGTGATGAGATTTTGAATTCTTGACTTGTTGGAGTTTAATTGAACATTATGCTAATATCATAATTCTTGAATCGATTAGTTTTTTATGCTTCGTGAATTGAATTTTTGAGTTTGTGGCTAATACTTGATTCTTGAAGTTAATTTGTTTTGTGATTATAAGCATGATTTGAGTTTGATGAAATTTCATAAGTTGAACATTTTTTGAAATCACTTGATTAAAGATTTAACGGTTTTTCCATGATGAATAGAAGTGGAATTGGTTGATTGAAGATTTAATCTGGATAAACTTTTGTTGATGTCAATTTGTGAAGAGAAATTTGGTTTGTTGAATCTTAATGAGAATTAACGATAAATTCACAAGTTGGTGCAATTTCAGATTGTTTTAAATGATGAATTGATTTTTGTGACACTAAAATGTCTTGATCCGATTAATTGCATTAACACATGAATGTTGTTTGTTTGATCTTGGAAGTGGTAACTCCCGTGTATTTAAACGTTTGCAATTTGTTTATAACTTCATAGTGATAACACTTGAATTAATAATTGCTTTAGTGCATCCATTTAGGATTTTAAAATTCAATTTTTATCAATATTAGTTCAAGTGTAAGTTGTTGTCCGGAAAGTGTAAGTATGTTTCAAAATGCTTTCTAAAAACAGTTTAATGCTTATTCATGCGTATTTGTATGTTTGTGGACTATTGCGGTTGATTTTTACAATTTTCGACGCGGTGTTTCGGTTGATTCTGTGTTATGGTCCAATGCTTCCCAATTATGGTAAGTTGAGCATAAGGCGACATTTCTTTGATGGTTAATGCTCATGGTACTTGGATGACAATTGTGTTGAGTTTTCTAGATTTCGGAACGACATTTTGCACATTTCACATGTTTATGGAGTTGCTGCCCGGCACTGATAAGTAGCACTTGCGAGGTGATTTAATTCACGGATATGGTTTATTTGAGATTATAGGTAAGTTTGATGGATACCAGTATCGTTTCAATCATTTTTATTCTGACTTTTCATGCACTCGGGTATGTGATAAGTTGCTGCCTGGAGTTTCATTTTGACGTTGCAATGCATGTTTGCATCTCACTTCTTCATGATTTAATTCCAAATGTAATTTTAATGAGAATGCATAACTCTAATTTTGTTTCCTTGTTATTTCTAACATATTTGTTTACTTGTGCAAGGTACTTTGAGAGCTTTCGATCATTTAATTAACATGTTGATTATTCGATCGAAAAGCATGTCATGCCACTTTATTTGTCGATTGATTACACTTCCGCTGTGTTTGCTTATTAATTCTTATGTTATGAGAAATATACACTGCTTGTGTTTCTTTATCTGGATGTGTAATTTGTGCAGGTGTACTGTCTATTGTACAGACGTGTCTGATGCACATGTCACATGCGATATATTTTGATGTTTATGCTTAGCATGCGATTTCTAACTATTTTGTTGTTGATGCTAGCTTGCGCAAAGTTTTCCAGAGTTATTCTGCTTTTGCTTGCTTGTTACGAACTCTTGTTCATTTGGTATTGTTTCCGCTTATGGTTTATTTTTTCGCATCATTAATTGTTTTCCTTTCCATGAGAAGTAGGGATAGCGATGCATGACTAGGAGTCCCTACTTTAGGTGGGAAATTTGTTTAAAGTCCTCAAGTTAGGCGATGTTTCTTCTGTTAAAGTCCTCGAAATGAGGAGTTGTTTTGTTTGCAAAATACTCCAAAAGGAGAAATTTCATGTTATTTGTTTAAAGACCTCAAAAGAGTCATTTTTTTCTAAAGTCCTTGAAGTACACAATTCTCCTTCCCTTTTACATTGTGCTTGTTATCGAGTAAATAAAGTGGGGGAGGGCTCGCAATCAGCCTGCACACATTCTAGTTGATATTGTTCTTATCCCGTGCCATGCATTGACGCTTTAAACTGTGCCCATTCTTGTCCATTGATTCGAATAAAGTGGAGGAGGGTTCGTAATCAACCCCCACATTTTGTCATTCGCTTCGATGATGTTAGCTCATGTTGCTCGACGTTGATGCTCCAAGTTGTTATTCGATGCTGGTTCTCGAGCAAATCAAGTGGAAATAGTTCCTTACGCTCAATGTTTTTTTGGCTTCTGCTTGTCTTTGTTCGCTCGCACCTTGTGCTAATGCCTTTCATTAGGTTGAAACCTTTGTATTCTTCCTTAGGATTCATTTGTTTCGTTTCCGATGCAAGATGGATATTAGGTTGTAATTTATGCATGCTAACGTAGGTAGAGATTTCCCTTTTTGTTATCTGAACCTTAGGGCCATCATTGTATGATAACATTAGGGATAAATCTAGATAGCTTCCCTTAGATGTATTTTCTTTTTCTTTTGCATCCTTAAAACTAAAACCTTTTTCTTGGAAAATGCATAAAACACTCTAATAATTTAAAAACCCTTTTTCAAGGTAAAAAACACCAACCAATTCAAACTTCATTTTGCCGCTTGGATTTTCTTTTAAAAGCCTTTTTCAAGGTGAAAAAACATACAACAAACGAAAACTTTTGAGCCGAACTACGATGCTCTGATTCCTTAAAGGGATCCTATCCTAATGTCCTATATTGAACTGTATCCTACGATGTTCTAGAGAGGTTTTATTATAACAAGGCCTTTGACTCCTCTAAATCCTCTTCCAGAAGGATTCCGGTTTGATCTTCATTATAAGTTCCATTAGGGAGCTGCATGCCACGTTTTAGAAAGATGATATGCATTGAAGGCTAGAGTGCAAGAAATTGGTGAGGAAAGATATTCGAAAATTCAAAGATCTAGGTCCTCAAGTTGTCAATAATCCTCTTCCAGGGCACCAAAAGTGAAGCTTCAGTTAGAGCAAGCCAGACTACCTCCTAAAGCCAGATCTTCAAACATGACAGCTCATTCTTGTTGTTGATTAGTCAATAGGCCATGTTTATTTCTGTTTACGTTTTCCTTTAATTGTACTGACTATTTGCTTTCAAATTTGTTTGTACTTTCTTGTCAATTTTAATGAAATGATCATTGCATATTTTGATTTAATTCATTTTCACTTACTGCTTTCTCTTTCAAAAAACAAAAAAATATTTCTCATGTTTACTTTCCTTATCAAACTTTTGTTTATGAAAAAAATTGGAGGGAGGATGATGAAAACAAAATACCCGAATTGCTGAACTGTATGCTTTCAAATAAGACTTTGCTAATGATGTATGGTATTATTTCAACTCCTAAACATTGTTGAAATAAGGAAGTCAATCCCTTGTCAACCCCTTTAAGCCTAAAAGTTGGAGTTTCTTTATGTATGAAAAAACCCGCAATATTAACCTGGGTAAGGGTAGTTCTCAGTTAATTTGATTGTGCATTCAAATATTGGAGAATCATTATGGACACCTTTTAATGCATGTTGCAATCACAAGCTTTCCTTGGCACACATTAAAGAAGAGTTGAAGATGTCCTTCAAACCAAAAGCCAATGATGGTTCTTAGTGATATTTAAGCCAGGCAATCACTATTTAAAAAAACAATAAAAAATCAAAGAAAAGCACGCTAAGTCAAAAACCTATGAAGGATACTTAGGTAAACATTAGAGCATCCCGCTGACTGTAAGCTCAAATGAAACAGTTCAAGAAAAATTTAGGGATAACAAAATAAAATTCAAAACAAGAGGTCACTATAATCCTCAACAAAGACAAATTGAGTTGACCAAAGTCCACAACAAAAACAACAAAATGTTGTAAGAAGAAGTGACTGCCATCTAAAAGAACCCTTGGTTTCAAAGTCATCAGCATTGTTATCATCAGTACAATTTCAAAATCTCTTGAAACTTAAATGCATAGTTTGAATTAACTGAACGTAGGATTGAAGATCATCACGAAGAAAGGGGTTGATAAAAATAAACTTTGAGTCTTTATCCTTTATTTCATAAACCGTGAACCAGACCATGATACAACCCTCAAAAGATCTAATTAAAGCTAGGTTAATTTCAAAAGCATACTACAACAAGGTTGCATAAACTAACTTCTAAGATTTTTGCAAATCACTTATTTTTGTAGCATACCTTCACATAACCTTTCGCTTTGAATGTCTAAACCATTGTGTTTTGACCAGTGATTCATTTGCTATACATCAATAACATCATTCCAAAAAATATTTTCATTTCAAAACTTTTGCATGAACTTTGCACTAAAATTACCATGAACATTATTTATAGAAAAGCATCCATCATCAAGGAATTCCAAATAGTTGAGAAACTTGGTCGTCGATCCTATCAGGAGAAAGTATCTTCCAGATCCTGTTATGAATCAGTTCAAGTTTTGTTGCTCAGTGCAAGTTATTCTTAAATTTGGTTAACCAGGAGATCTCTTTCAAAGACTCATACTGGGGAAAGCCTTTCTAATAGTCATTTCAAGAACTAAAGCCATGATCAGTTTATCCCCAGTAATAACCAAACTGAAGCCATTATCAGTTTATCCTTAACAGTCAGTTAATCTGGGGAAATCTTCTTCAAGAATTCCCAAGCAGCTCTTCAATCCTTTCTCCAAGGATCATCAACTTGATACAGTTCACAAGTGTGACAAAGATGTGTTCAACATTTTTCCAAGCAGAGCTGGAAGTGTTCCCTGTGTTAACAAATCATAATTCCAATCTTCCCTCATAAAGGAGTCTAGCTTAGTTGTCCTAAGCATTTGCATTTCATACATTGATCATTCATATATCATGCATAGAAAAATTCAATATCATG